TCTAAAAAACAAGATTTTTTTTGGAAAAAATAGCAATTTTATGATAAAATTAAAACAAAAAACTTTATAAACTATAAATTAAAAAATAAAAACGTTTAATAAACAATAAAAAGTTTATATATACCATGTATATAAACCAAGTGTAACAAAAAAATAATTAAACAAAAAGCTAGTATAATGCATTGTGAATGAATGATAGTATCAAATTTCAAAAACTCATGTAAACAAAGAAAGAAATTACAAATTTTTTTAAAATTTTAAACATTCTTTCATTTTAACTCTATTTCATTTCATATTAGCTCTAGCTTAAATTAAATTCATTTCATTTCAACTCTAGCTTCTTTATCTTTCTAATTTTTAACCCTAACTATGCACTTAGTTTTCTTTCAAGTTAATGTCCTGAATTCACACAAATTTGTTATAATGTGAACTACAGATATCTAGAACTCAAACTTCTAGTGACTTAAATTACTTTCAAGTTTTCATCAATGATAATACTATGATATATATATATATATATATATATATATATATATATATATATATATATATATATATATATATATATATATATATATATATATATATATATATATATATATATTTCAACTTTTCATCTATGATAATTTCATCTATGATAATACTTTCATCTACAGTAATACTAATACTTTAATAACTTAACTCAAGTTGTTTTAACATAAAAATGTACACTTTAGTGCTTTTTTTATACAAATGTTCCTTTTACTTATTGCAATATCAGCTTTATCATTGCACTTTTTTTGATTCGGTAGAATATGACTATAATGATAAAAAATTCAGGTTTCTTTTTTTTTCAAGATCATTTTTCAACTTTTGATTTGCATTTTAGTTAAGCTGCACTGAGAAGTGAACACCTTAAAGATGCATAAAAAGTTTAAAAAAAGAATGAGATAAAAGTACAAAAGGATGTCCAGTGAAAAACAAAGAGCCTCTATAGTATCTAAGGTATCTTTTTGTTAGAGTATCCCTTTGTGTTATCTCAAAAAGACCATTTTCAGGGTATCCCATCAGGGTAATTGCCACAGACTTTTGCAATGACACAAAGTGACATTATTTTGAAACAAAGAACCCCACTAGATGTCTTCTGGTCTCACTTAGAGGATACTTAGTGAGAACAAATTGCATACAATTGTATGTGATTTTTTGATATAAGTGCCAGTAAGTGCAATGATTTGTTGCAGTAAAACGAGGGTCGGTGAGAGTTGTGAATTGTTTTCAGTTTTTATAGCTTTGCATGTGATGTGAATGGTGAATTAGGAGTATGTGTGTAGTAAACGACCGGGGTTGATGTTGAACGGGGCCGCGTTTGATAAATTAAAGCTGGAGCTGGGTTTGTGACCCGTAGTTGCATAAACATTTATAAATCCTAAAGTATTTTTTTTTATTCAAACTTCATGTTATATTTTGTATACATATATGCATACAAAAACATCATTATAATCATAATTATCATCACAATCATTATTTACATCATCATCATCATCATCATCATCATCATCATCATCATCATCATCATCATCATTTTCATCGTCATTATCTTCTAATTAAATGCTCCCCATTAAATGCTCTTCCGCGATGCTCTGTGAAAAGACCGTAAGGACTACTTGGGGCACCTTAATCAACTTTAAAAAAAAAAATAAAAAAAATTATACCAATATCAACAATAACTTTTATATATACTTCATATTTAATAAACTAAAATCATTTAGAAATTTGTAAGCTAACAGGTAAATGTCTGTAGTATAAATGTGTGTTATGTAATTTGCACAGTTGACAGCATTCACTGTGCACATGTCATGTGACTATTATTATGAAATGTATCTGAAGTAGAGTAGAATTATTTGTTTTATAAAACTATTAACAGGTAGCCTTTAATTATTTAAACAAAGTGTGTGTGCAGTATGGCCTATTTTGTGTTTAATTATACTTATAGTGACTTGTGTCATTAGTATGAGTTTTTAGTTCTGAAATGTTATTAGACAGTAATTAAAACAGCTGGTAATTAAAATGAAGTTATGCAATATCTTGCAATAATATGAAATTTGTGTTTAAAAAACTCTTTATAATCAATTCCATAATGCGTTAACAATAATTTGTATTTAGTAATTGAACAGTATTATTTATCTTTTATTAAGAGATGTGTATAGGTGTATGTTACAGTGCTGAAGTAGAATTATTCGTTTAAGTAGTTTTAAGATGGTAAGTATAAAAATGGGGTTTAAGTAATTTATATACAATAATAAAAATTAAAAAACATTGATGGTGACAGTGAAGTAAGTTGTTTTATGATCATGGTTGGCTAGACTGTTAGTGTTTGGTCTGATTGATAAATAGAAGTGATAATATTTGGAGTAGAATGATTCATTATATGAATAGTTTGTAAGTGACTTGTGTTATAGGTATGATAAATATACATAGTAAAAAGAAGCAATGATTATTAAAAGAATATTAGATGTAGCACCCACAGTGCCTCTAAACTGGACAATAGTTATATATACTGGTCAAAAGGTGTCTGGACAAAACAATTAATATTTATAAGAGTTTATTGTTAGGCATAATGGCAAAAATGTTAATTAAAAATAATTTTTTTTTACTATTAGTATTTCTTATCATAAATACAAGATAATAGCAATAACATGATAATAACAAAACAGCAACGATATGATCTAAACAAATAATGAATAATTTTACTTAAATTAACGTTTTTTTTATTACCAATATTGTTGGCAACGAAGAAAAGAAGTTAATTTAAGACTTTTTATTGATTTAAATACAGCATTCAAAATTCAAAACAGTTTCTATAATTGTTCTATTATTATGTTGGTGAATTGTACGTGTTAGAAATCACGTAGATGCGTGTTGAAAGTCACGCATCTACGTAAGTTATTTCAACTGAAATTAACAGTATATTCTCATGGGACTTTTTAATTTAATATATATAGAGAAAAGATTTTTGTATAGGTGGTTAGAAAGAATATATAAAGCTATAGATTATAAACGTTATTAAATTAAATGGACGCGACGATAAAACAAGCTATTTCGGCCATTATGCCACCGGTATTCGATGGCAACCATCAGCGGTTCGTCCGCCAACTACGAACATACATAACTGCGATGGACGTACCCGAATCCAAAAGAAAAACAATAATATTAACATGTTTGCCACCACAGATTTATTCCGCACTAGAAGATCTATGCTTGCCTGCATACCCTGAAGATGACTCAGTTACCTACGAAGACATCGAGGAAAACATCATGAAGCTTTTTAAACCGAAGTCATCGTTAATACTACGCTTTGAATTTGCAACTATAAAAAAAGCAAGTAACGAAAATGTGACGGAATTTTCACGACGGATTTTAAGAGCTGCTGAAGGATGCAAATTTACGGATAGAGATGATCGAATGCGCGACAAATTCATCACGGGTTTTAACGATGGTGTTACAATCAAACGGTTACTACTGGAATCTGAAGAACTAACTTTTGAAAAGGCTGTGGAAATAGCTGATACCCTTGAACGAGTAACCCAGGAAGCTCAACAATTAGATGGTTCCGAGAATGTAATGATTGGCGCAACATCGTTACTTTCACGGACGTCTGGTGCGTCCGACATAAACAAAGTTAAATGTTTCAATTGTGGAAAACTTGGACATTTTGCAAGGGACTGCGAAGAAAAATGCAAGACTTGTTCACACGATCATCAAGCTAAAAACTGCTTTAAACGATTGCAAGGTTTAAAAGGAAAAGGGAGAATCTGGAAATAATGGCATCCAGTATTCTCCCAGAAATGACGTTGCCATCATTAAAAGTGAAAATAAATGGAAGGCTCCGAACAGCATTAATTGATTCTGGATGCTCCATTACTGTGGTTCATGCTGAGTCCACGCATGGGCTTGTGTTAAAAAGTCAAAAACTTATCACAACTTTGGGAGGAACTGTGCAAGTGCTGGGTGAAATGGTAATCAATCTGGAAATTGATGGAATACACCGGATGGTTAATTCTCTGGTTGTAAAAGAAAAACCATTTGGGTTTAATTTGATTTTTGGAATGAATGCAATTAAAAAATTTGGAGGAGTTATCATTTATGGTAATAAAAACTTTAACGTCCGAATGTTAGCATGTGACAAAGCGAAATGTGGTGCTGTTACTACGACGAGAAAAAAACGAAATAAACGAATTAAAAATTGATGTTATTAATACGACAAGAAAAAGCGAAAACGAAGTACAAAAAATAAAATGTAATGTCAAAAATACAACAAGAAATGAAGAGAAAGAAAGAAACGAAATAAAACATCAGGACTTCACAGCAAAGTTCGACGGAAAAAAATGGACGGCATCATGGAACTGGAATAAAGAGCCTGTAATTGATAATACCATTTGTGAATACAAGATGAACCAAGAGCACGAACGTAGTTACCGTAAAGAAATACGTGAATGGATTGACTCTGGTATTCTTGTACCATATAACGAACTAATATTGGGACCACCAAAAGTATTGATACCGCTTATGTGCGTAGTGCAAGAAAACAAGGACAAACAGGTATGTCCAGTGGGAGATTTCTGAGCTCTCAACGAATTTGTAAATTGTCATACGGCAAATGCGGACGTTTGTCAAGAAAAACTGCAAAATAAAAAATGCAAAAGTTCTCGATCTTAAAAAAGCCTACCTCCAATTTCATATTGATAAAAAACTTTGGCCATATCAAACGGTGATTATAAATGGGCAACGGTATTGTTTTACTAGAATGTGTTTTGGCATCAATGTGGCTCCAACAATAATGACCACAATTCTTCTGCATGTGCTCAATTTAAATCCAACCGAAAAGAAAGCATGTGATAACTACATTACCCAGTGGCAGGAAGTTTGCGTTTACATACTTCATACATCAAACGTTTAGCTGGAAATATACCTTGGTGTGATTTTATTTCTGAAGATTGTAAAGAAAAACTGAAAGAGTTGCTTTACCGTGTGGAAAAAGAGGATCCGATTTGGTGGAAAATGGCTGGTACCAGTTAATGGAAAAGCTGAGCTTTATTGTGATGCATCATCTATAGGACTTGGGGTAGTTCTGCTCATTGGTGGAGTAGTTGTTGAAGACGCAGCATGGCTACGGCCAGCGAGTGACACACACCATATCAATATAAGTGAACTGGATTCTATACTTCGAGGACTTAACTTAGCTAGTAAGTGGGGCATAAAAGAGTTAACAGTATACAGTGATAGCAAGAGCACCGTAGGATGGTTAAATGCAGTTTTGAAGGAAGAAAATCACGTAAAAACTCGGGGAATTTCTCAATTGTTAGTACAAAGACGATTGAGTACTATTAAGGAAGTGGCAAAAGATATTCAGATCGCAGTACAATGGATTCCATCTGAGATAAACTTGGCTGATCGACTCTCATGAATCCCTCAAAAATGGTGCAGAACAGTGTGTGCAGCTGGATTACTTGAACAAAAAGACATATGGAAAATTCATTCAATTGGTCATTTTGGTGTTGCTCGAACATTACAACTTTGCTTGCGAAATAATCAGAATGTATCACGTAAGGAGGTTTCAGCAGTAATTGTGAATTGTAAGCAGTGTAACTCCATTGATCCTTACTCCGTAAAGTGGAAGAATGGCCAACTAAGCGTAGAAAAAAATTGGAATCGGGTTGCCATTGACGTGACGCATGTAGGTGCTGAACTGTACTTATCAATGATTGACTGTGGTCCATCACGGTATACAATATGGCGTAAACTTGCAACTAAAGCAGCTGCTGAAGTTGTTGGTAGACTCGAAGAAATATTCTCTTTATTTGGTTCGCCAGTATGTCTTCTAATGGACAACGAATTTCGGTCCAACACGTTAACAAGTTTTGCTGAAGAATGGCATGTTTATTTGGAATATCGAGCAGCACATCGAGCTCAAGGTAATGGCATAGTTGAACGTATACACAGAACGATAAAAAGAACGGTCGCTCGCTCACATTGTTCAATCGCTCTGGCAGTCTTGCTGTACAACGAGACAATATCATCCAATTGTACTGAAAGTCCATCCAAGCAATTCAAGAAAAGATCGACATGTTTCATCCCAGGCGTCGATACTCGGAGGAAGGTAGGCGAGAAAGGCGTAAGCAAGAAATTCAAAGTGGGTGACAATGTTTGGGTAAAACCAACTCAAGAAACAAAATGTGACCAGCCGTGGATACCAGGCGTAGTACGAAAGCAAAATACTTTGTCGTTTGACGTGGAAACTGCGAATCGGGTATATCCGCGTCACATTTCACACCTGCGTCGCCGTACAGACGTACAGAGTTCAAATGAATCAGTCAACGATGTTTTTTATAGACTAAACGATAAAACTGATAACGTTAAAAGAAGTTATAATGATGATGTCGCTCAAGTTCAAAATGATTCTCAAGAACTCAACGCGCTGCAAGTAACACGCTCCGGACGAACAGTAAAGCCCCCACAAAGATTAGACTTATGAGTTAATTCACCAAGAGGGCATGTTCTATTATTATGTTGGTGAATTGTACGTGTTAGAAATCACGTAGATGCGTGTTGAAAGTCACGCATCTACGTAAGTTATTTCAACTGTAATTAACAGTATATTCTCATGGGACTTTTTAATTTAATATATATAGAGAAAAGATTTTTGTTTATGTGGTTAAAAAGAATATATAAAGCTATAGATTATAAACGTTATTAAATTAAATGGACGCGACGATAAAACAATAATTAATTGTTAAGCTTACCTTTTAATAATAATTAAATGAACCACTTTCAAGTAATTTTATTTCTAAACTATAAACCTATATATCTTTCTTTTCTTTATTAGTGCGATCTATTTCCTTTACTTATGTGAACAAAATGCGCCTGATTTATTTTTGATTTAAATTAGCCGCAAAATTTAAAATCAAGAACGGTAAATACGGTAAACGATTTTATCGACCTGCTTTTGAGGGATGTTAACGTCTGCTAACCAGAACGAACGGTGTCGCGTTAAATACAGTCATTCTGGGTAACTTTGAATTTGCGGGTAATATTGAACTAAACGTGTAAAAGTTTTTAAATTTTTTTTTCTTTGGTATTTTCTTTGCCTGTTGCTTTAACAAAGAATAATATGATGAATTATCTTTTTTTACAAAAGTTTGACCAAAGAAAATTAAATTTTATTTCTCAAAAATAATGTTTTCCTCCATTTCTAGTTACACAGTCGAATGTGGTGATAACATCGTGTGTTTTCAATTTATAAAATTTGGTATTATATTGTAATTATCTGAATAGATTTTTAAGTATTTTATTAAATTATTTTTCGAACTTTAATACAAACTCAAAATAATAGGATTTAACATGTTTTTTGCTACAAAAAGGATATTTATTTCCACTTAGCTAAAATATAACCAAATTCAGGGTAACTTTAGACAATCAATATTTTCCAAAAATGCTTTTTTTGCTGTCTGAGTAACATTGCAATAATACATAATAAATAATAGGCATCCTTTTATTATAGTATTTTTATTATATAATGATATATGATATTATAAATATCAAAAATTATAATATCTATTACTATTATATTATATTAATTTTTGATATTTATGGCTATCTTGATAGATTTAATAATATATTTTATTAATAGCAAATATGCAATTAATTAAATAATTTTCAGCATTCATAAAATGCCAAGAAAATGTTCGACATAATATGCAATTAATTAAACAATTTTTAGCATTCATAAAATGCCAAGAAAATGTTCGACAACTCATCCTGGCACAAGAAAATATGGCACTAAATCTAATTACACCATTCTACAATTCAAGAGGCTTTAGCAAAAATTAAATTAGAAAAAATGTCGATTGGTGAAGCTTCTAAAATTTATAAAGTACCTAAAGCAACATTATTTTATAAGCTAAAAAGTAAACACTGTAAATCAGTAGGGCGCCCTATTGCCCTTAGCATTGATGAGGAACTTTGTTTTGAAAATCACTTACTTTATTCAAGCGACAAAGGTATACCAATTGGAATTAATGATTTTAAAAGTATTATCAAAATCTATCTGGATGATAGTGGAAAAAATATACAACAGTTTAAAGATAACCGACCAGGTTGGGAGTGGTGTAAACTTTATCTTGACAGGCATCCATTATTAAAAGAAAAAGTATCTCATTGTATTTCAAGGAAACTGCATAGATTAATTATTGTCAAATCAAATTACTTTTTCAAAATCTAGTGAAAGAATTAAATGGAGTAACGCCAGATAACATTTACAATATGGATGAAACAGGGTTTCATGATGACCCTGGAAAAAAAAACTTATTTTTCGTCGATCCTCTCGCCATCTAGAACTTATAAGAAACACAACAAAAACTTGTTACACTGTTGTTTTTTGTGGAAATGCCTCACGAAAACTAATTCCACCATTTTTCATTGTTAAAGGAAAACACAGTTGGTCTGACTGGCTTTTCAATGCACCAGAAGGATCAAGAATGGCAACTTCTTGCAGTGGCTGGATGGAAATTCAAGTATTTGAAGAGTGGCTGTTAAATCACTTTGTTCCAAATATTATAAAAAAGGAAGGTAAAAAAATTCTGATTTGCGATAATTTAAGTGCTCATATATCTTTAAAAGCCTTAAATATATGTGAAAAGCATAATATAACATTTATATGTTTGGTACCCAATTCCACACACCTTTTACAACCTTTAGATGTTGGGTATTTCTCGAGTTTAAAAGCTGACTGGAGGTCAGTTCTTAATCAATGGCGTAAAACATCCAGAGGAAAAAAGGTTAATAACCTGCCAAAAAATTTGTTTACGCAGCTCATTAAATCTACTCTTAAGGTTGGTAAAGAAAATCTAGAACATAATCTCCAAGCAAGATTTAAGGCTACTGGCATATATCCATTTGTACCAGAACATGTTCTCTCCAAATTACCCAGTTTTACAAATATAGATATTCAACTCAATATTGGAGAATCGTTTAGGAATTATGTTAATGATATTCATCTTAACTATGAAGTAAGCAAAAAATTTAAGTTACCAATAACAGCAGGGAAAAGTGTATCAGCCACTGAGGTAAAAGCATACTATAAGGAAAGAGACAATAAAAAAAAAGTCAAGATAATATTCGAGCAAAGAAAAGAGGAAGACCACTTGGATCAAATAATATGGTTATGAAAATAAACAAAAAACTTAATATTTTACAAAGTTCAAGCATCGTAAATGTTAATCAAGCTATTGAAGACAATGAACAAGTTTTACCTGTATCTCAAAACAGGTAAAACTTGTTTTTATTGTTAATGATGCAGTTTTTTCATTGGAGCAAATAAACAAACACTATGTACATGTTTTCCTTGATCATGATTATTTTGTTAAAGAGTTAGTTGTAACTCAAGACTAAAAGAATGAAACACTGTAATATTTAGTGTTATAGTCAATTTAGTTTATTTTTGGAGAATTATATAAAAATAATGTCTTAATTATTTTTTCTTTTATAACCTTAAAAATTATTTTGCGAATATTTTATTGAAAAACTTGTTTGTTTATTCTCGAAATATTTTATTGAAAAACTTGTTTGTTTATTCTCGAAATATTTTATTGAAAAACTTGTTTGTTTATTCTCGAAATAGTTTAACTAGATTTTTAAAAAAATTAATTTAAACTAATGCAAAAAAATTTAAACAACTTTTTAGATTTAAAAGATTAAAATTTACATTCAGTTTAATAGTGTTCAAAGTTACCCGAAATGCGAGGGTAACTTTAAACGCCTACTTGAACATTGTTTTTTTACATAATATCTAGCAAATTTAAAAAAATGATAACAAACTAGAAAAAAGAGATCATCAGAACACCCTTTATGTAAAAATATTTGCTTTCTAGTTAGTAAAACAATTATTGTAGAGATAAACCTAGCGCAAACCGTTCAAAGTTGCCCGTAATGACTGTAAGTAGATCGTTAAATAAGTAGACAGTCAGTTCTGCGCAAGCGTAACGCATGCGTAAATACGGTGTAAAGCTTCCGTTAGGTAGGTTAAATCTATCGTTAAATAAGTAGCCTTGTTTACCCTAGGTATAAATTATATATAAATAAGTAGCCTTGTTTACGCTGGTTAGCCCTAGGAGAGTTTCTAAAACGCCGAATTCTAAAACGCCGAAAGGCCAAAATGCCGAAAAACCATCTTGGAGTAACAGAATAAAAAACGGAATGCGAGCAAAGAACAACCGGTAGTCAACCCCCGCATTATTAGTTTAAATTAATGTTTTGAATTTTATAAAATTCAAAACATGTAAAATTAAAAAATATAATGTAGCAATAAGTTTTGTATTGCTATGCCATCTATGTGTTGTATACCAAAATAATAGTGGCCTGCAACAATAAAGTAAGTTTAGCGGAAGCTGCACAATAAGGGGAAAGCCTGTCACTAATGCTAAACATGCACAGTAAGATAAAAATCTGTTATCACAACAATAGGAAATAGTAAAATTTTCGTTGTTTTTCTTTCTATTTGTTTCTTTATTTTGTGTTAGCTAACACAGATTAAAGATTAATTAATCTTTAATCTGTGTTAGCTAACAAATATTAAGACATTAAACTTTAATGTTTTAATAGTATGGTTGACCCATCAGTTTGACAAACCTCAAGTACTTTTAACAGCCATACTTTCCTTTTATAAGCTAAAACGATTGCTAAACATATTTATTTTATTGAAAGTAAATATAGAGTAGTTAGTTTAGCAACAAAATTCAATAAAGCTTGTTGAAGAAACTTCAATGAAGTCTTAATAAGTATTCTAATTTGTTTTTTTGCTTGTTTGTTTATGTTTAGAAAAATGACAAGGAATGCAAGCATTGGGAGAAGCTTTGAGCTTTGCAAAGTGCTGTATATGAAGGAAGGTACCTAAAGGTATGTTTTATTCAAATTATTATTGTAAAACTGTCTAGTGAGAAGAGAGTTCGTTACTGTATAGAAAAAAAAAAGAATTTGTATATGAAGTTTAATAATTTGTTAAAATTGGAAAATAAACTTCTAGGCATGAGTTTATTATAAACAGAACAGAAAATTTATGGAACACATTGCCATTGGAAGTTGTCAAGTAAACAAATGTAAACAGTTTCAAGAGAAAATTAGACAAATATTTAGTATCAAAAAAGTTAACTTAAAAATTATTTTTTGTTTAAACTATTCATCTTTTGCATTATATTATTAAAAGTTATATTTTGTTATATATAAGTTATATTGCAGTATATTTTCAAAAGCTGTCAAATTAAATTTCTAACTCACTTGCTGTTAACACAGCTACAGTTTGACTACTACTATGACTATTATATATTTTTAAATGTTAGCATCAGTTTTTTCAGTAATTTTTACTATTTTGTTAATAATGCTAATATATATATATATATATATATATATATATATATATATATATATATATATATATATATATATATATATATATTATATATATATATATATATATATATATATATATATATATATATATATATATATATATATATATATATATATATATATATATATATATATATATATGAAAGATTTGTGAAATTTAACTACTCCTTTATTAGTTTTTGATTCTGAAATTAAGTAATTTCTAATCCGCATAGTTTCCAGTGGATTAATAATTTTCTTAGAATGCAAAACTTTCATTAGTTCTCTGAATTGTGACACTATTTTTGCATAACATTGCAAAGTCTTCACTTGTTACACATACAAGTTTTTATTTATGTTTTTAAATAAATTTAATCTGGAGTTGATAAGATTATGGCAATGTTTTTAAATTGTTAATTAGAATGTAGTTTTCTGAGAAAAGATAAAATAAATTGACCTATATCTTAATCAATTTTAATATGAAGCTAATAGAATAGTGTAAACTTTTTTTATGTTTTTTTGGAAATCATAATAAGATGTAGGTTTTATTAAATTTTTAAGATTTAGATGATAATTTTTAGATAGATTAGAACATTTACAAAAATTTTCCCAAATAAATATGACAGTTTTTACCATAACAATTTAATTTATGTATGCCTTTAATGTGTATTTGTTTTTACTAAGTATTTAATATTATTTTTATTACCTTTATTGTTATTTTTTTACTTAAATTTATCAACAAAAAAAATTACCAATTTTTTTCTGAATTATATTTTGTATCTTTGAATGAATCTCAAAATTGAAAATTATGAAAAAGTACATTTCTTTCTCAAAATTCAAATTTATGGCCAACCAACAAGAAAGATCTTTGTTTTATGAGCAGAAATATTCCCTTCAACATTTAGAAAGTTTCAGACACCAATTTCTATTTGTGTTTCAAAATGACCACAACTATGCATTGCAAATAATACCTGTTGATCAATCTTATTCTAATACAATCAATGATAAAACATCAACAGCTTATTTAAATAAAAATGCGAGCCTTAAAGATCAAAATGTAATTGAGGTTAATATGCATAATGAAACTTCTGACAAAGTTTTTATCCACTTTCCATGACATCAGAAAAATCTGTGACATCAAAAAATTCAAAAGCAACTTTGAACATAACTGCAGCAACTCCTGCCATAACTAAAAAAACAGAGACACTTACCTTTAATGAAGTTCTGACTCTATTACAAAATGCTACTTATTTTAATAATGGAGAAGAAACTATACCTGTTCATCCCAAAGCAGGAGAAATTTATGGGTTTACAATTTCCAGTGACAAAACATTAAAAAAGCATTTGCGAGCAGATGGCTATATGTGGAGGAACAAAAAAAGTTGTGCATTAGGAAATGGTTTAATCACTAAGACATATTTTTACGCAAGAGTTGGTAAAACATATACTAACAATTTTGAAAAGCATGAATATATGTTGCAAAATGGAAAAAAAGCATTGATTCATTACTTGGGCAATGAAAAATCATATGTTGATAGATGTCATGGAAATTCAACAAAATCAAAATCTTTTTTTTACAGATCATCGCATTATGTTTTTGATCAAGTTTTGGCTCAAGGGAAAAATAAACCCATGGATGCATATAGGAGCCTTTTATCAAATGACCCAGGTGGTCATATTTCAACTTCTATTATTCCAAGAAATCCTAAACAGGTTGCAAATATTATGACAAGAAATGCTGAAAAAAATAATTTTCATAATAAGGATGAGGTTTGGAATAGTCATCTTGTTGCGTATTCCATTCATCCATTTGTTCGAAAAATAGAAAGCTACCCAGACATCTGTATTAATTGTGTTGTGAAAAAATTGTTGCACAAATGGAAGAAATGTTAGAATTACTACCTTGTAAAGAAATTACACTTCACTATGACACAACTTTCAATTTAGGAAATTATTATTTGTCATGCTTAGCTTATCGACACGTTTGTTTGGAAACAAAAAGGAATAAATACTTATATTCTTCGCCTACTGTTCCTTTTGCATTTTTTATACATGAAAAAAGATTAGCACAAAATCACAAATACTTTTTTCAAACATTAAAAGAAAATGTTTGCGGAAAAAATTTTAATAAATCCAGGAAGTTATTCATTTCTGATCGTGAGTTTGATGGCTCCCATTATTTTGATAATACAAAAAGTTTGGTATGTTGGAACCATTTATTGCAAAATGTAAAGGAATGGATGCGAAAGAATGGTAAATTTTCATCATCAGAGTATGATGAAGCTGTAAAAGCCATGAAATACATTCTTCAATCAAATTCTGTTTTTGAATATGAATCAAGACTTAAAAGTCTAACAAAAGGAAATATCAACCCTTGGAATGATCAAAAATTTCAAAAAAACTACATTCAATACATGCACTCTGATGTTATTTCTCGTGCTGCTGCATTTGTTTTAGCAGAAGAAGGGATAAAGTACCCAAACTTTGGTGTTACCAATAATGCGCCAGAGTCTTTAAATAAAGTTATTAAGGATCTTATTGACAACAAAATAACAAAAATGGACTCTTGCATTTTAGCTATGAATTATCTCAGCGCCTATTTTCACAGAGAAGTTGAAAAGGGATACTATAATGTTGGTTTGTATCAGTTAAGTGATGAGTTTGCCTTTATGTTAAGATCAAGAGATGAACTTAGCGCTAATCAAATCATCCTACCAGATGACATAGTAAAGCATATAAAAGAAACTGAAATACATTACAAAGATCATAACAATATTTCTTCTCCTTATGCTTCTATAGAGATGTTAGTTGAAAAACCAGTTAAAAGTGATCTTCCAAAACTTGTTTATTCAATATCCTCATTAGCAAAGGATATATTAAATAAAAACGGAGTTGTATTTGTTCCCCAAAATCGAAGTTGGTCGGTGAAAGAATCAGAAACAATTATTCATTCTGTAAATTTGAACCCACCTGCACATTGTACTTGTGGTGCCTCGAAAAATTGTGTTCATATTTTAGCAGTTCAATATCTCTCTGGAAATGTAAATAGTTCAGAACACTTTGAAGGGAAAAAAAGAAACTTAACTTCACTTATACAAAAAAATAGGCTTAAAGTTGAGAGAAAATCAGGCAAAAAAAAAACCAAGGAAATGTGATATTGATTCGAATTTAAAAACATTGAATTTTTGTGAACTTGCAGTTCCAAAAAATGAAAGTTTCAGTATAAAGCAGAATGAGCAATCTACTGTGCCTGAAATAAAATATCCTATTCCAAGAGGACTTCAATGGGGTGTTGGTTTGGTTTTAAACAGTTGCACAATTGATAACACTTTAACAATGTTGAAGTTGCGTTGCCATGCAGATAAGTACTTTTTAAATCGCCTTGGTACTTCAGAAGCAGAAATAGAGCTTAAAAAAGCAATGAGATATTTAAATAATGATGATGACAATTATGGTAAAAAAATCTGGGCATGCTTTTTAAAAAGTAAAATACAAATTACAAGCTCACCTTGTTTTAACTTATATGGATCATCTAAAACATTTTTTTTCAACCACTTTAAAGAAGCATTTACATTCGAGAGTGTTGGAAAATGTTTTACATGTTTAAATAGTTCTTTTCATCCTTTTGATTTTATAGAACTGCCTCCAAACCATGACCCAACAGATTATTTGCTAGGTTATTTGAAAGATAAAAGATTGCTTCTAAATTGTTTAGTTTGTGGCAATAAAGAATTAAATCACTGTGGCACGACATTAAAATCTCAAAATACTTGGATGATTGTGATTGAGTGTGATATTCCTAACATTTCAATTTCTTCGCTGATGAATTTGCCAAAAAAAATTTTAATTGAAAAATGTTACTTTTCCTTGGCATGCATAACTCTTGGACTTAATGCTCACTTTACATCTTTGCACTATATAAGAGATCAATGGTTTTTTTATGATGGTATGCAAAAAAATGGAAAACTAACCAAGATGATACCATATAATTGGCAAAATAAAGTTGCAAACCATGTCATTTATCTTATTGATTAATGCTTTTTGAACTGATATGAATTGCACTGTAAAGTTTTAAGATTTTAGATTCATTTTTACTATATAGTGATAATATTAAAACTAACACGATATATTTATGTTTTATAATAAAAAAGTTGTGTTTTTTTATTTATTAGAGTAATTTCTGTTATTTATATATAGCTTTTGAAACACTTACAGTGAGTTTGCGAATAATTTGAAAGAAGTTTTAGTTAAAATTTTCCTTGTGTTAGATATTTTTTTATACCCATTTGTTTTCATATAGTATTTAGTTTTAAATACTTTTAGTAATAGTAGAAAAGAAAATGTTTTTAAAGTTGTTGCTTTTTTTATCAATAAATCTGGTATAATTGTTATTGTTTTGTTTTGCATCATAATACAAATTTTCATAAAATAGTTATATATTGTTATATATTTTCATGTTATGTAAAACTTCTTTAACATAGATAGATTTATGTAACATAGACACCCGAAAATTGCGATATAGGTTAACATCTATTTCAAATGATATCAAAAATTAACTTTGAATATGGGTGTAAAAACACTGGCAACCAGCTTGTATGCCAATATATAAAAGTCTCATTGACCCATGTTTCAGGTAAACAGCTTATAAGGTTTTTCTTTTTTATTGATAAATTCTAAAAATTAAATTATTTTTTAAAATGTATTTTAGTGTATGCTGATGTAGCTTCTAAAATGTGAGAGGGCAAGGAAATTAGACGTTACAGTATTTTTTACAAACTAATCTGGCTTTAGTCTATATACTACAAGAAGTAATAAGAAAAATCAATTTCAGAAGATTACCAATCCTTTCATCCTGGCATCTTTCAAAAACTCTTAAAAGTGAATTTGGCATTGACAGGTTATATACTTTTTTTGTTGCTGGTACATAAGATATTTGTCATTTTTAAAATATAGACAACCCAATACTTTTCTTATTTTATATATACTGTGGGTGGGTGAAATAAAAACATTACTTAAGAAGACTTTTTACTCATTTATTCAAAAGTGTTAATTTATAAGGCATAAATTTGGCAGTGATTTTTATTTGACAATTGCTGTTTCAAATTTTTTTAAAACTCAATCACTTCATATTCAATCCAATTTATTTAACCTTATTATTAAATATTATGAAATATTTATTTATCTGTAGATACTAAATGGCGATAATTATGTTATATCAGCAAAACGAGTAATGAACAGTTTTAGTCTTCAACGATTGAAATTACTCAGCAAACATGAATTCATTGAAGAAACTGATTGTCGTTGCTCTAGCATAATCGTTGCACGATCGTTGCACGATCGACCTGATAAAAGATGAAATTACTTATATATGTGATTAATTAAAAAAAGACAATTAGTTTGTAAATAATCAGGTGAATGGTAGCCTTTATTATATGGCTGGTTGTGTTCAGCACAGGATGTTGTGCATAGTTAATATCAGTTTTTCAGTTCCAAAATTAAAAATTATGTTTCACATAGTAAATTGGGTTTTCTTACTCTTTTGCATTTTATTCGTTTTTGTTATATATTATTTAACAGTGCTCCAAAATATGAAAAAACGTTTTTATTTGTAATTTTAAAGAAACTCTTTTTTTATTCCTACACTTGACATCATCAATTAATTTAGAAAGTAACAGTATCGGTGCTAAATAATTATTTCTCTAATAACTAACTTTTAAAAAAAAGTTTTAACATTTAAAAATTTATTACGGTCTATGTGGGTACCGCCAATATTTTTTTAATTCGCATTTTATATTTGCTATTACTACTAAAATTTTTAAGTTTTTATAAATAATGGAGCTTTAAAATATATTTATTAATTACACAGGTCTGCAAATTAAAACTTTTTTTTTTTTTTGGAATGGGTGAATTATATGTATTTTGGTATGCTGATTTCAATAATACCATCCATTTCGACCCATTACGTAAGGATTTTCCGCTAAGTCGAAAATAAAATATGGGCAAAGCCCGCCTTACACTACTATTTTAGACAATAATCATAAGAAGAAAAAAAATGGTAAAACTATGCAAAATTGGTTCATTT